ATTGCAATGCGCAATAACAAAAGTAAAGAAATTAATACACAGACAAGTGAGTCTATTCAAATCGCATAGCAGCGATTTCGTTGATTGATCGTAAACAAACGGATTGACTTGTTCTGATTTGCTTTAATAAATACATAATACTCTCATAATTTTCCAAGCATATCAGTTTTCTGATTTTTCTTTTGCTGCTAAGCATTGCTCGAAGATCTCTTATTTGACGTCTTGCGCTTCAATCTTCAAATTGTTTAGAACGTTACTTATAACACTTTTGATATCTGTTATCCAGTTTAAAAAGTTATTATTTAATTAATGTTTTATTTGTATGACATCTATTCTCGGGTGCATCTTACAGGAATTGCTTGGCGGTGCTATCGCATGTATTAAGTGTACATAGTTACAAGTCTCCAACTTTTGCTATTTCTGTAGTGAACTACTATTTAAATTAATGAAACAAGGCTTGAAATGTCAAGGTTTGAACATTCGACTGCTGAAATTTAAATATCTCTCTTACTAATGTCAGCAATTTGTTGGTTAATAACGCCAACGTTCTTTGAAAAATTCTCCAAAATTTTTTTGCTCAAAATTTGATGTAAGTTTAGGTTGTAAACTTAATTATCACAAAACATAGTGCTTCGAAAGTTTCAAACAACTGTAGTGATTACAAACCGCAAAATTTATCGTTTTCCCTGTGTCCCTTATCAGCTTTCTAGCTTATTGAAAAGGCTTGTTTCCACTTAATTTCGTAAAAGTTTCGTCAAAAGTCAAACACAAATTATTTTTATGTTATTTTGAAACCATTGCACAGTTTATGGCAATTACCTTTGCTTAATGCGATTCATCTCCAATATTTGTGGAATTTGATTATTGCGGAAATGAAATGTCTCTTGCCAAATTATTGTGAATGTTTTCAAATAAATTGTGTATATTTTCCATTTTACGATATTTCATTTCACGAAAACAATGCTCCCTTTCATCCGTCTAATTTAAGTTAAAATGTACCTGAAACCTTCGGCACACTAATCATTCACGGCATTTAGAAGCTACCAAATACACTGTCACAGCTATTGATGATGCGGAATTAAAAAACGCGTCACTTTCGCCTCTTCTACAAAATGTGAGTGGAAGATTTTTTTGCTAAACAAATCAATAAATATAAATGTTTTTACAGAAGTTCATTAGCAAATTCTTTTTACACGCAATGCAAAACTTTTTTCCACACATTTATTACATAATTATGCAATATAACGTCTCACATCAGTTCAACATACATGAATGTGTGTGGTTAATGGAGAAATAGGCCAGTCAGAGCTGATATTATCTTTCCAGAATAATACATAAGACTGCTAACATGAACTTATAAATGATTAAGTCTTCGAAAGCTATTAATGAATTTTCAATATTTTTCTAAGCTCTGCCTTTGTCATTATACTTTTCTCGTTTCGCTGGTGTCTGAGCAAAAAGCTCGAAATTTCAACGTTCTTGTGATATACAGTGATGAGCACTGAAATTCCGATCTGGAATGAGACATTTGCAATGTAGCAACTGAAAGCAGACATTCTTCGGTGGGAATAAAGTTCTTTACGTCTTCTTTCTGTATTTGCTTTGGTCTTTCGAAAAGTCTTTGTTCATTGCCTTATCAGCCTAGCAAACATGTCATTTCAATGTCTGACCTTTGAGGAACACTCATTCTTCGCACATTTGCGAGAAAAATCTCCTAAGATAAGTACGGAGCAGTCAGTGTGATTAGATAGAGAAGAATACTTGATGAAGCTGCTAACTGTATGCTACATTGCTTGACATGCCTCAGAAGATTCTCACATTTTAGGCCTACATTGTCCTCAACGCTTCTTCACAGTTCTTCTCAGATTCGAGACGAATTTGCACATTGAACATTTATTCGCAAAACTTTTCCTTCTTCTAACTTTCCACTTGTTTTCGATTGTATTTCTTTGAAAAAGCACTGAATGCCCTCAGTGCTCAAAATTGTTGTGTTTTGAGTATTTTGTGTTTCAAGTATTTCTATCTAATAAATTATATAAAGACAATCAACCTTATTTGATAGCAATAATTTGTTCCTTCAAAATTTGAAAAAGTGATTGTTTTATATAGTTTCGCGTGATTTAGACTTAGCGCAGTTTAAAAACTCTAGAATTGTAATGCAGTGAACTGATTTTTTTGTCACTAGTCAAAAACAACATACTGAGCATTTTTTAATCAAAAAGAAGTGAAAAAATATCTCAAAGAAGAATAAATCTTTTCATAATTTACTATGAAGAATTTTTCGAGCATCTATTTTTGTTACACTTGTAATATTAATCGCTTAAATGATTAATTATTCTGTTTGCTGCAGGAGTTTAAAGGACTGTAATATTCTAAAAAAAAGTTCTTTTCTTCTTGTTTACAGAAAAGATGATGATATAGTGGGAGAGCTAACTCATAGAATCCTGGCAGAAGTAAGAAGTAAATCAGTGAACCTTCTTTCATGCATCTTTCCCACAAATATGAGGAAAGCAATTCGTGAATTTTTTTAGAAACAGCTGTTAAATAGAGTAATTACTACTGGCTTGATGAGTACAGCTAGTTACTTTCATGCAGCCAAGTGCGAATTCTTAAATTAAATTGTGAGACCAGCAATAATTTCACTTGTAAGGTTTAAAAAATTTGAAAATATGCGCGTGACATTAGAATTGCGCGTAAAATTGTTTTTCAAATAAATTGACACTTCTGTAAATCAGAACTACACAGCACTTACGTCTTTTTTCTACAATACTTGTATAAGGAAGAGCATCAAGTTTTCAATGTCATGACCTTATAGTTTAGCTGAAAATTTAGGCACTTTCCACAAGTTTAAACTTTTCGTGAAGAATTTCAGTTTTGGCTGTCCTGAAATATAGCCATTAAATGTTTGTCTGAGAAAAAATTGCATTTGCTCCTGGATCTCTGCTAATAAACTTCCAGCAGTTTGTTTTGCTTTTGTTCCAAAGAACTTTCCACTTTTTGTTCCAGCTTGCTTCTTTATTTACACTGTTCTTTAGAAAACAATTTTCAGAAAATTAATCAATCAGCGATTCTAATGCCTGCGTTTTGTTTTGCAGAAATTCGCCGAAATTCACCTTCATCTCTTTTTATTAGCTAGATATTACGTTTATTCCTTTAACTTCCGTGTAATTTCAAAGCATTTATACAAATTGGAATAAATGTTCACGTCTGTGCACCCACTTTATACTACGAAAGTCACAAGCTTTGTTTTGACGATTCTGCTAAAATAAATCTTCATGCCATCCATTAGCAAGAAGAAACTTCAATTCAAGCTCCAGAAATGCTTTATTTTTGGCAACAAAAATTCTTTATTTGTTGAGAATACGAAATAGTCGGAGAACAAAGTCAGTTCTTACTTTTGATCTCATGTAATCAGCAAATATCGCCATTGACGAAAATTCCAGAAGGTTTTTGTATATTTATGCGAAATATTACTGTTACTTGCAGGAATTTTCATGGGTATCAAAAAACGATATAAGTGGTAGTTGGAGTGATATTCCTCTTTGGAAGAAATTAGCTGACGAGACAAACGCCAAAGTTAGTCTTTTTTTTCTCTAAAAATTGTCCAGAATTGAAATATTAGCCTAGAAAAGGTGCTTCTTACAGTTACAAAATTTCAGGTACCACACACCTTCGAAGTACACTCCTGTAAACGACCGACCATTTGTCAGTACTGTAAAATATTATTAAAAGGTTTACTTCCGCAAGAGATGCAGTGTCGTGGTTTGTTTACTTTCTTCGATAATTTTTTAGGCCTATTCAAAATTCATAAATTAATCTTTGACAAAAAAAAGAAGTTTTCGAATTTATATCATTCCGTCTAATTGGATTGTATAACTTCTGGTTACCAAGTTTTTAAATTGATATTGGATGGAGAATACATATATTAACAGTTGCTTTTCTGCCAAATTGTAGTAAGATGAAATGAAACTTTTTATTAGATTTCCGCTTGCTTAGTTATAGTTAGATATGTAATCAATGCATAGATCGGGAAATTCGGGAAATCATTTACCTGATTTCCAGATCGCAAGTATAACTGTCATGAAAAGTGTGCAAAAATGGTAGAAAAAAAGTGTGGAGGCAATTTTAACTTCATGAGAAGTATGCAACTTAAATCGCTGTGGGATGAAGGTAAGAAGTGTATGAATTGTTTTGAGAAGTTGGAAAAAATGCCATTTTAATATAACTTTTATTATAGCTTGTACTCTTAAAAGAACCAACAAATGGTTTCATCCGCAATTTATTAGAACAAATTTTTCATTTCAAATTGTTACCCTCAACTTTGGCTAATGAGAATGCCAATTTCAGATATCTATTTTGGTAGCAACATGAAGGATCTGCGAATATGCAGTCGGTTGTGCAATGCAAAAAGCAGCGAAAGTGATAGTTAGGTGTTATATATCATTGATAGTAATAGTGATAATATTAATTCAGAAGGATTAACTGAGAATATATCATGAATAACAATAACGATTAGACTGGCAGTTGATAAAATATGGATGGCAGTGATTCATAAACTTAGTAGACCTTGAAAGTTTTAATTCAATTTATTATTGATTAAATAAATATATTATTATAGAATAAATATATTATTATAAAATAAATCAAATTAATCGGGGTTTCCAACTTTCTGCTAATGAAAATTTTCAGCTAGTATAAGTTATGAATCTCAAACATCAACTGTAAATTAATGTTTGTTTTCTTTGGCTTTTTGTATTGTAAAAATTCGATTTTTTATCCTGTTTTTGTGCATGAAAATGTATTGTATAGGTATTAATAATTACAGATAATGATCATGTTGGATGTATTCAAGATTTTATTTATACAACAGAAAAATTAACAAATTCTCACTATAAAAATGCTCTAACAATGTCAAGTGCATCCTCAGAAACGTTTAGTAATGAAAATGATAATCAAAATAATTCAATCGAATCTCAGGTAATCTTATTACTTGCAATATCGTACTGTTTTTGTATTATTATAAGCGAAATTTGAACTAAAAACTAACGATTTTATGGTGATATTTTTGGCACTGCTTTATAAATTATTATTTCCAAAATATGATCATTTAGAACATCCCACTGATGCGAGTTGTGATGTCAAAACAGCAAATGAAGCCTGAAAGTGTAAAGGTGCTAAAAGAAGGTTGGATGATACATCATACAAATCGCAGATGCTTGGTTATCTTTGTTAAATTCGTTTTATATACAAATGTTACTTTGTGGGCAAAATTTTTGGAAAATTCATGTGCTGATCAAAATATTCATATTCCTGCTCAGTTTCATGCATTTTTTGAAATTTTTCTAGCGCAAAAAACTCTTTTGGCGCTTGGATATGAAGGCAGTAACCGTTTACAGAGACGAGACACTGACAAAAAATTATAAAGTATGTATATTTAATTCAAACTATCTCGAAAATTAATTGAACTATGAAATCTCGACATGAACTCACATTTACATGTTGTAACACTAACATTAACTCGACATACTATGATTCTGCGTTCAAAGTAATGGTGAGAGTTTTAGGAAATTCCTTTGAGCGAAATTTTGGATGTGAAATACGTCTCAGGCAGTGAATCGGAACATATCGCACCTTTTTTTGAAATCCAAACTCGAAAAACAATTTATTACATCAGTTAGCTTTGCTTACTTTCAATTAATTAACATCAGAGAATCATTTTTTACTATTCGAACAGTATAATTCGTTAGAAAAAGTGGTAGTTAGCTTGATTTGAAGTAACAGTTCATGCTTCTCAAAGTTCTGAAGGAAAAAATCTGTCGTCAGCTGAAGAGGAGATATTTCTAATGCATTGTTATGCTAAATATTGGGTTCATAAATAGATGAAAAAAATGAAGTCGCTTATAAAAACGCTTTAAGTTTTTAAATGAAGGGCCGAGAAATCTGAGAGAGTAACGTGAAATTTTCATTGATTTAGCACTTTTCCGTCTAATGCACAATTCATGAATAATTTACAAAACTTACCATATTGTCAAGAAAGGCTGCTATTATCACTTATCACGCGGCACTTTTGCAAAAGCTTTAAAAATCATTTCTTTACTCAATGACCTTATTCAAGTTGGCTTTTTATTTCACTTAAAATAAGGTAATTTTTACTTCTTTTAAAAGTTTATCTCGCTTATTTGAGCAAAAAATGGGAAATTTTTTAGTACTAAATTTAATTTTCAGTGTAAATTGTTTCAAAATAAAAATATTAAAAAATTGCAAAAGTTTGCTGAAGGGCATCTGATTTGATACGATTTACCTGTGATCTTTAACATTCAAAAATACCGTTTTTTAAACTTGTTTTATTTCCTGTCATCCCATCAAAATGCAACAATTCTGATTTAGTATACAAATTTGATTCTTTAGGTCGATTAATTTCTTAGATTGTAAATTAATCATGGATTTATATTTTAAAAATTTTCCTGCATTCAAGCACGTCCAAAGGTAGAAGTTAGACGTGATGAACTTACGTATACATTTAGTATAAAATGTTAAATTATTTAAAGGTTTTCACTACGTACAACTAACTAATGTGTTATTTAACTTCATGATAATCTGCATAATTGCAGTTGTTGTTTCAGGCTAGTTGTCCTATACTTTCATTTTGTAAACTCCTTCTGCTATCAGATTCTTTACTTTCCAAACCAAAGAGAGAAGAAAAAATCAAAAACTTGTTCAGTTTGAGTAAATTTTTTTTAAATTGTTCACAAACTAGACTACATCTTCCATTCACTTTTATAGTTGCTTACCTTTTTCTCATTGCATTACCGTATATTTTATATATATTGCTTGGCCTATATAGCATGTTTAGCATTATTATAACTTTATGCGAATTTTTATAAATTAATATATAATTCAATCAAATATAACTTAAACTAATGATTATTTAATTATAACTTTCGTTTTTGCACATTTGTATGATAATAATGGCAGTCCTTTTGTGATAAGCACATTGCTCGTCTAGAAAATTGAGAAGTGAGATTTTTTAACTGATAAGATGATAATTAGGTTTTATCCTAGTATTACTTCATTATAAAGTTACAAATTACAGTAGTAATACTGTAAATTTCATTTTTATGAACAGTCACTTTTATTTAGAATTGTGAAAAATCCGTCGACTCTAATTCCAGTTATTAATTAATCAGTCTTTCATGCAAACTGTGCTGAAATCAAATCGAACTTTTAAAGCTAAAAGTTAAATAAATCGATTGGTTCAATAAGGTTGTCAAAATGTAGAAAAAATTTGATTATATTTAGGAAGCCCAAACTTTTTGCATTCTGCATAAGTCGTTCATTATTAGCAAATAATCTTATTCTAAGAAGTATTTAAGTTTTTGTTTGAACATTTTAATTTGTATTCATTTATGCTTTTTGTTTGCATGCCATTTCATTCCTGCACTAAAGAACATGTTTTAAAAGCGAAATTAAAGGAAATAGTTGACGCCGTCATTCCTGATTATTTTTAGCATATTGTATAATTGCTTTTCTTCAAATTCGAGACCGAACCATATGAAACTGTTGAAAATGCTACTTTTACAGTTTGGAACGTCTCTCTATAAGCAAACTTTTGTAAAGTTCGAATGATCAGGTTTTGTGATTCAGCGCATCTGTAAATGATTATTGATACTTTTACGTAATTAATTGAGCTCAAATGAAGGACAGCAATTTGGTGCAAATGAAGTATTTCTTAAAAGTATTTTTGGATTATCTGAAAGGCGTGAGATTTCAGTCAAGAAGATTAGATAAAAAGGAATATATCTCTCTGCTACGGAGAAGTCGACTGGGACATGTATCCATGCGTAGCACAAAAAAGATTGAAGGAGAAAGCCGGCGTTGATCTCCCACCGCTGTATATTTTGCTTTTGTCTTGATTGAATAACAAAATGTACGTGAGTAGATTGTTAGTGTTGGTGATTGCATGTTTTGCTATTAATATATTTCCTTCATGCTAAAATGTTTCTCATGAGAAAGGCTGTTTTTCTTAAAAATTGCAACGTTTGTTTTCAATTTTTGGTGAAGTTTGATCTTAAGAAGCGTGCCGTCAACTCAATAGCTGCCAGGTGCTGTGCTTTGCTTTTCTACGAGAGCAAACAGTGAGCTGAAACTTGGAATTTCCATTCTTATTCTTATCATTTGCAGAGACTGCGTTTTTACTTTGCTTTCTTGACGTTATTTATTTGTGTATTCTCAATGGTAAACATCGAACACTGAATTCATCTTAATCTAAATGGCATTAAACTACACAAATGAATTTACTATCCGATTTGTACCATTTTCACTCAGTATTCAGATGGACATAATTACGACTTCTTTACCGCTATTTCGCACGCTTTAAGCAAAAATATCCCTCAGGCAAATCGCTGCAGAATTTTTGGAGAAAGGCCCTGTTTCTCTTCTGTTAATAACGCGTTGTCAGTGCACCGTTTTGTTCATTTAGGCACTGCGAAAATCTATTTGTTTCTTCGCTCGCTAATTTCACCCTTTCTTTTATTCATTTTTAAAAACTCAAATAATTTATTATACTTTTTAACATTTATTAACGTTTGTATGTGCGGTTACTTTTCTACGCGCGACATTGGTCAATTCAAAAGCATTGTTAGTGCGATATAATTTGTTGCGATAATTTGTTGCGACAGTACCTTTGTCTTCATAGGTCTTCATCTTGCTCTCGAAATTCTATCTTACTTATGCAGCAATTTCTTTTTTTCACTTGCATCTGTTTCCAACAGGTCGAATATATTCAATAATATTCATTTTCTGCTCTTTTAAAGGCAACTTTCTTACAGTTCTAATGAATGTGACTATTTTTCAACGTGAAACTTTGATCACTTCAAAAGCATTAAAACCCCTTTTTGGCTTTGGTTTCTTCTCCAATTATTTCAAACACTACCCCTAATGAATGGAAAATTGTTGACAATGGAGATATATACATACAAGTTTTCGTGAGAAATCTTTACGTTTTCGAATTATCGCGGTTACTTCAAATTTAAAGCTGACAAAAACTGGTATTTGAAGGTTGTATCGTTGCTGGCTATGTTACCGTTCTGGTGCTATGACAGAAGTAATCTCTCTGATTATCCATTGATCCATTTTACACCAAAATTTCGGCATTTGCCAAACTCGCAAAACTTTATCAAAGAATTATCTGACTTGGAAAGTAGCACACCAAATGCAAGCGAAAAATTCAGTAGTGTACCTTCAGAATCATTGCATCATCATATCAGACAATTAAATGTTGTTGATTTATGGTCAGAATGCTCTGGAAATAATCAGATTGACTTTAAATGCCGCCGTGGAAAACTTGTTGATTTAGCAAATCATGAATATTTCACACTGCAAGGGAGTGAAGAAGCTTTCGAAGGTTCAAGCAGTTCGTTTTACTTTACTATCAAAAGCAATTTTGATTTCAGAAATATGTTCAATTGCATTTTTTCAATTTTGAAAATGACTACTAGTTCTGAAAAAATATTCTGCATGTTTTTCAGGGAAGATTGTAAGAAATGTATTAAAAATTCTTTACATACAATGCAGTTTACTTTGAAAATTTGGTGTTCTTAATCCATGGAAAAAAAACTATCTGAAAAATCATTTCTGTAAAGTTTGCAAGAGAGATTGCCGAGAATTATAATAATATGTGATAAACTTCGTCAAGATTTCAAT